TTATCTCTCCTCTGTCCCATATACCTTTGTTCATGACCCTTGGGGCGTGGACAGTATCTTGGGTATATTAGCTTTCCCCTACAATGATTTATGGTACCAATATCTATTCTTGCTGAAAGTTTTCTATACAGAGTCTTTATCTTCTTTATTCCCTCGTACTCTGCTAGTTCCAATTCATGTAAAACCAATGCTGGCTTTGGAGTTGGATTTGACTTTCCTTCTCTCAGCATGTTGTTAAAGTAAAATTCAGAGTTTCTGTCTTATATTAAGAAGTCAATTGGTATAAGACAGAAGAAAACAAAATCTAGGGACTATCAGAGTCTAAACTCTGTTATGACTCTAAAAAATTTCCCTCATAGTTATTCTCATTCTTATTGTTGCCTTTTCCAGTATGCATACCTATAAAAGTTGAACTTTCTGTGTTGATATTAATGTTTAAGTCTTCCACAATGAACAATAACATTTCCTAACAGCAACCACTGAAGTCTCTGGAAAGAAGATGGTACCCCACTTCATCGATTCAACTTGATTCAAGTAGTCATCTCTGAACTAGTAAACACCACACTAAGATCGCTTTAGGACTAATACTGCTATATAGAATTCCAGACTAACTAGCTGAAATGGTGCACCTTCTTATAACACTCTGTCAAGAGCTTCAGATAAGAACATCAGTCAACTGAACAAGGGGGAGCTCTTGTACGCCAGATTGATGGCTGTGTGGAAAGCATGGGACTGACCCAGACCCTCTGAATGTGGGTGTCAGTGAGGAGGCCTAGGTAATCTATGGGGCCTTGGGTAGTATTTATCCCTGGCCTACAAAAAGACTTTGAGTGCCCATCCCACAATGAGGATTGTTCTTTCAGACTGGACTCCTTTGGGGGGGGGGGGCTAGGCCCTATCCTGGATGAAATGACAGACTCTAGAGATCCTCCATGGAGGCCCTCACCCTCCCTGGGGATGGGAGTAAAGATTGGGTGGGGGACTAGGGGGCCTGGTGGGGAGGGTGGGGGAGGAGGGGAGGGAGAGGAAGCTGGGATTGACAAGTAAAACAAGCTTGCTTCTAACTTAAACTAAAAAAAAAAAAAGGAAAGGGGGGGGGAAGAACTTCAGTCAAGCATCTCCTGCCACTCAAACACTAACTACAAATTTTACAGCTAGTCTTCTTGAGATTTTCCTTTGCCTTATTTTTTTTTCCTACAGGATCCCATAGAGTCTGTGGTCCTGAAATGGTAACCACACCCCTTTGGGTGTGGCTTCAGGCAGGAGTGGTTTTCCTTTGCACTCTCTTTCTGGTGGGTCAGCGGATCTGGTAGAAAGGGTAGGGAAATGTTCTGGCTGTTCTTTGTTTTTTGTTTTATGTTTTCTGTGTAATTGTCCCCAGTAAACACCCATTTATCATTCATCTCGGTTCTAGTGATATAATTACATCCTTGGCGTCAGAATAGTAATTCTTTCCCCCTGGTTCTAGAAGTGAATTTAAGTCAGAAACCATTTGGCAGCAGCTCCCCCATATTCTCCACCTACAACACAGTGAGTAGAGGTACCACATGACTTTTTCCGGAAAGTTTTCCTACCTTTCTAGAGGAAGAAGCTACAGCAAGTCTCTGATGTGACAGACATCCAGAACATAGGTATGCTGCTGGTGATGCTGCTCAGAACTGCTCAAAAAAGAATAAAGCAATAGCCATGTGATCATAGTCACATCTGGGGCATATTAATTGTAATCTCTCATCTCTTTTTAGTATTTTGAACAACTTTTACATAACACAATAAAAAAATAGGAAGATGGCTCCTTTTATAAAATGTGGCTTGTTTATGGATGATGGTTTGGAGCATTTTTTACACCTGATTGGCCTACGTGTGGACTCCAACTCTATGCTTCCAGGAGGTAAGTCTAACATGCTATACCTGCAGTGTCATTGAAAAGGTTAGTTAGGATGTGTGAATGTCCATGACGTGCTCAGAAGGTGTCCAACTCTTACTTGACTTACCCCACGGGGTCATTTTGCAGCTACAGTTACCCTAGGTCAGACCAGGATGTAAATGTCTTAAAGTCACATGTCTGAATCTGGCTCATTTATCCTGAAAAATCTTTGATGCTGGACACAGTGCTAACAGATGTGACCGTAAGCAAACAATGTCCTTCAGAAATTCTGCAGCTCACTGGTGAAGGTGACAGATAAATAGGCAAATGGATAACTAAAGTAAAACTTGAACTTTCTTTGTGAGAAATTCTTGAAGTGCAAGACCTCATTCATGCAACACACCTATCAGCGTTACCAGAAACACATAAAGTTAGGAAATCAAATGCACCTCCCTGACCCTGTTCAAGGTTCTGTCTTTATCTACCAGATATCAATTTTCATATATCTCTGCATCCTATTATTCATTCTCTAACCAGCTCTCTTTTCAGAATGAATGAGTTTTCACACAATCTACTCCTGGCCTGATTTATACATTCTGAGTACAATGTTGATATCTCACCTAATTCTAGAGCCCTGAGCCAACCCAGGCATTCAGAACTCCCAAGACCTATCCAGAGAACATGCAATTTGAAGTTTTCTGAAGAAGTTACACCCGTGTTGACAGTTCTGAATAATGACCAAATTACTAGAACTTCAAGACTTAAGAGTAGAATATGTGAAATTTAACTTGGGCTATCTTTAGTCTTCTTAATAGCCATTTATGACCAACCACTGAATTTGACCTAAAATTCTTGTGACTATCAGATAAAACTGATGGAATGTATTATTAAACTGAGCAGACCACTAGCTTCCACTAATTCTAAAGCTAAGAATGTTATAACATCTGGAAAAGACAAAAGATTTTCCTAGACTGCTGTAGCCTGCTTACCTAATATCTCCCACAATGCATTTGGTAACATATTGATTTAGGATTCTTTTGTTCTGTGAATATAAATGTTCATAGGCTCTCCCACCGTAGGGTGTGGTATTTTGAATAGCAGGAGTCTGTTCACAAGCCATGGCTATTCATATTTGACTCAATTCCTTTGGGAGCAAAAAAAGTAGGGAAGTATAACATCCAATTATCTTTCCTGATATCTGACACACAGAGGCCTGGGACTATGGAACTAGCTGTATGACAGAGCATATAGAAACTACTTACAACCTTGTTCCTGTTTTATTTGAGACAGGGTTTTGTGGTGTAACCTAGGTTGTCCCGTAGCTTACTAAGTATCTCTACTGGTAAATTTTTTGTCAACTTGACACAAACCTAGACACATCCAGGATGAGGGGACCTCAATTAAGAAAAGACCTCCATCAGATTGGCCTGTGGACAAGTCTACGGAAGCATTTTCTTGGTTTATGATTGATATGGGCAGTGGCACCCTGGGCAGATAGTCCTAGGAGAGAAAGGTGGCTGAGCTTTCAGTTCCCCTCTGTTTTAGTTCCTGCCTCCGAGTTCCTGGCCGGCTTGAGTTTCTGCCTAGGCTTCCCTCAATGATGGACATGGAATCAGGATGTGTAAACCCTCTCCTCTGCCATGGCCATTGCCACAGCAGTAGATAGCAAACTAGAATAGCAGCCCAGGCTGCCTTGAAACAGCCGGTTCTCCTTGCTCATTCTCCCAAGTGCTAGGATGTCAAGCCTGTGCCACTATGCCCCGTTGAATCAGATCTTTTGTTTTTTAAGTTAGCGTTAACAAAGTGTCAGTCAATCATAACCTCAATCCATCATCACAGCAACCCTTGACTTTACTTGGAGATAAAGAAATAGATAAGACAAGGGTAAGGTTGCTTCTGACAGCAAACTGAAACTCGGGTTCTGACAGATCGCTTTGGCATTTATCCCTCAGTTTCCTTCTCTCAGAGTTGTTGTGGGGGCTGGACTAAGCCTGTATAAAGTGCTTAGCTGTAGTTAGTCAGAAAGTGCTCAAAGATATTACTGGTTTTCTGTACTGTCTGACCGTCGTGCAGAGGGCGCACAGCTTGGTGGAATTTTAAACATGGGAACATAATATCTCAGATTCCTAACTAGTGCTGTGTGTTCACGTTCCGGAGCAGGCATTACCTGTCTGCAAACTATCTGCAGGACCCCCAGCAAGCCCTGGCTAGTCAGTAGGTCACAAAACCTCCTGCATGACAAGGCTCAGGGCAGGGCTTTCCCCATTTCTACCTAGGCTGTCCGCCTCCACGCTGCTTGTCAAAGGAAACCTCCTTCCTAAATGAGGCATGTTCAGTGACTGCACTGAGGGATATGTCACAGGCAAAATCGCCTAGCCCCAGGACCAGCTCTTCCAAAGGAGTGTGTTGTCTTCCTGAACTGAAGTGGAAAGAGGCGTTCCTGCAAGGTGCCAGGACTCTCTGCAGACTACTCCTGGGAGATCAGCATTGACTGACCGGGTTTAGACTCAGAGACAGGGCAGAAAACTGGCTCACACACTGCGGTGACCTAGGTTTTGGGAGTCACCCCCAACCTCTTCTTCAGCTGGGCCGCGAGCCAGCGCTGGGCCCGCGGGCCTACAAGCCCCAGCATGCCTCGGGGAGGCGGGGCACGGTGACGGACAGGCCGCCCGACGAATCGGCGGCCGACGTGGGACGTGCGCGCTGGTGCATGCGCAAAGGGCATCGGGCGGGTGGGTGGGCTGGCAGCGGTGGAGTCGCGTCGGAGCCGCGGGCGGTCAGGTAGGGGGAGGGAAGGAGGGTCTGCGACCAGGGACTGTGGTGGGTCGCGGGCTCCAGGACTGAATGACAGGATCTGGGAACTGGATCGGAGTGGCAGGACTGGATGGGGGAGGGCCGGGCTCGGGAGCGATTCGGCGGGGTTGAGATGCAGCTGGGGGAGGGGAGCAAAAGGGGCCGAGGAGATTTGCAGTTGCAGCATCTCGGGAGGTATGAGGTAATGTGGGGGTCGTGCGGGAAGACGGTGTAAAGCGTGTGGGAGATCCGGGGCGGGGGGATCTGAAGCCCCTGGAGGGATCTGGGTGCAGAATATCAGAAATAGAAAGGAATTTGGGAGGCATGGGTGAGCTAGGTTGGGGGTTGGTGGGCAGAAGCTCGGAGGCTTTGAGGAGATCGGTGGAATCGGGGAGCGAGATCTGAGATCAAAACAGCCAGGGTCTTGGAAAATCCTAACTGCTGAAGAGAAAGGGATTTCTGCAGTAGAATCCGGGGGAGATTGAGGGGTGAGTTCCCAGGGGAATCAGTAAACCAGTTAGCAAATATCAGCAAAGGCTTGAGGGCAACACATGAGGCAGGACTGGGGTGGGTGTGGGTGTGGGGTGGCCCGGTGCAAGACGGGAAATGCAGATAAGGGCTCAGATTGAAGGGGACAGAAATCTGAGGTACAGGGTTGGAGTTTGGCATACAGGAGTGACAGATGCGGAGATTTGGAAACCGATTGAATAAAGGATGTAACAGGGATGTGGGACACAAAAGTAATTGGTAAGATGCAAGGTTGCAGCATACAGTCTAGAAGGTTGAATTCTAGATTTGGGATTTAGGCTTGGGGATGGGGTTTGTAGAGGATTGAATGGTGGGGAGTAAATGTAGTAACTAGACTGTAGTTTGTGAATTGGTTCGTAGGCTACTAAAGGAGGCTTTGTTTGTTTGATTTTGGTCTCTGCATAATTGAACTAAGAAGATGTTCGGGAGACCCAGGAACCTGAAAGTAATGTACAAATAAACTATGCATGAATGGAATTTAGGAGAATGCAGAGATTTGGGAATAAAGTCACGAGTCTTGACAGATCTTGAAGGCGAGGTTGACATTCTCTGAAGGGCAGAGTCTTCTGTGTACTAACTCAAAGCCCTTTTATCCTGAGACAGGCATAGCTTTCTCACTAACTCTGACCAGCTCAACCTGCCTCCTGCAGACCTAACATTATAGGCCTTGGGGAAGACGAGAGGGAGAGGAAGGGAATGAAGCCAGAAACTACCCTAGGTCTTCTGCTACCTGCCCCTTTTCCTGCTCCTCCAAGCTGTAAGAGATGTTTAAGTCCTCCAAGTATTGAGCCGAAATGAACTTAAACCTGACTTCATTTTATCATAGAAGGCCAGCTATCGCTCAAAGGGGCAGAGGCTCTGTGACTCAAGTGTTAGGACTGGGAGAGGAAGAAAAACGATGTCCTGAGAGCAAGAGAGAGCCTCCCATGTGCTGAACATCTAGCCTGTGTCACAATCTAAAGCCATGGTTCTGGGTCAGGGGTGATTTTGTTCTGCCAGAAAACATTTGGCAGTGTGTGGATGGGTGCATTGTCCATCCAGTTGAGGGGGCGTGGGGGAGCAACCCCAACACTAAAGCACTGTCATTTGCAGAAATGCAAATGAAGGGACCTGGCTTCAGAGTCACATATTCTGAGTTCGAATCCTGGCTCTTTCTCTTCCTGCTTTAGTCTTTAAAGAGTGACTAAAGTGCACTAGCTCTTCAGGGACCTACATCATAAGATTGTTGTGAGGACTCTGTGAAATCAAGCAGGGGGCTTACTGTCTGGTGGCCAGTAGGTGCTCAGAATGTAAGGCTGTATAAACTTCCCACAGTCCTGCTAAATAAGCTTTACTGTGTCCTGTGTTACACGTGAAACTAAGGCTTAGGAGGTCACTTGTCCAAGGCCATATGAGTAAGAATGGCAGAAGTAAACCGACATGTAGACACCCACCACACTATATGCCCTCCTTCCTTGCGTCCTTGCTACAGCCCTTTGCCCTCCCTTTTTAGTCTTTGCTGGTGAAAGGAGGGTAACCCAGCCTTCTCAAGTAGTGTGACTCTTCTTGATCAGGAGAGGCCCTGGACACTGCTCTTGTTGTGTCCCTAGACTAGAACCAGTGGAGAGATAATGGAAGAGGCTTGGGACTAGGCAAGCTGAGCTAAGCAGGCCCCTGGCTTGACAGAATACCTCAGTGGGGCCTCAGGCTGAAGGCAGTCATGGACTGAAGGAGAGTTGCTACTGCTCTGAATGGCCTCCTTTGTGTGCCTTGTCTCTGGAACAGAAGAGTAGTATTGCCTTTATCAACTCCAAACCCAGCCACAACATTACTGAAGCCAGCTTTAAGAACAAAGATAGACTGGAGTTGAGGGCAGAAGACTTAGCTGCATATTAGCACGCATCACTTAGGGATACCTGATAGGGGCTGAGTTAGCCTTGGAAACAGCTATTTTACTGCTTGCTTGTTGGTGGTCCAGCGCGTGCCAGCCTCTGTCCAAAAGCAGTCAGCTGCACTGAGTGCTGGGTAAAGTACATGCTCTCAATAAAGCCTGCTAGTTACCTTGCCAACAATCTAAATGCTATTGGTTATTCTGTAGGTCGTGGTGTTAAGAAGTTAAGTGACATATCATCCTAAACTACAGAACAAATGGCTAATCTGGCATGTAAACTCAGTTCTCTTTGACTCCTAACTTCCACAGTACTAGTTTTAGAGATCTTCTGACAGGTAAGGCCACTATACCTGTGTCCAGAGAGTGTCCAGAAGTCACACGTCTGCAAGGCTGCTGAACAGCACTCTCTTGTGCATGCAGATGCATTTCCTTTGGGAGACTCCCTCCATTGTGCCTTTCTAATAAAACAGTACTGCATGCATTTTCCAACCTCTCAGCCAGATTTTACCTTGAGGCAATAGTAGTCTCATCGTCTGTGGAAGTATAACACGTTTTGAGTGAGCGTAGTTTTGTATCACAGTGTTCACGTGTGGGCATTTGAGGTACTGCTCTACTGCATACCGGAGAGGGGAGCCTGGCCAGGTTGCTTTGCTCTGAGCATGACTTTGGGTGTGGAGTAGCACGTCCTTCACATGGTTAGAATACACGTGACGTGCAAACTGCCTGACACTCATTACTCCTTCTTTGCTGAAAGGCGGCGGTTAGACATGATCTTAGCTCCCTGCAGGTATCATGGGCACCCTCAATCTAAAGTTCACATGGTTGTCTCCACTGCCAGAGCCAGGGGAATAGCGGTGGCGACCTCAGGTGGAGAACCCTGCTTGGTTAGTGAATGGCCTTTGTGGCATTGAGACAGTTGCACACCTGGTTAGAACTAGGTTAAAGTGCACAGGGAGTAAATGCAGCTTGAATGCTGTCATGAAAGGAAGTGATGTCTCAAAAACAAAAACCAGAAAACCACATTACTGTCCTTTATGTCTAGTTTTTAGGTAAAATTTCACATGTATTATTAAAAAATTACTTCTCTGGCCCCACCCACGGGGCTAGACTAGTAGTAATTGCTCAGTAAAGATCTACTGCATTAATTGCCTAAGGTTCTCCAGTTTTGCTCATGGCCTAAACCTCCAAGGAACAAAATGGGGCCTGGGGAATGAAGGGTATCTAAAGAATAGTATTAGAACAAGACTCAGGCACTGACTGGGGATTTCATACCTTGGCTCTGCTCCTTAGTTTTCCTTCTGAGATCAGGTAACACGCTCCAGGAAGGCTGAGTGAGTGATTTAAAGGTATGTCTGATGCCTTAGGTATAGTCTGCCTTTTGAAAGGTGCCTGTTTATTTCGTACGCCAGCTGGGTAGTGGCTATGGCTCACAGTAGCTACTGCCTGACTGCTCCTGCTGATAATAATAAAAGCTATTCTGCACAGTTAACTCTGTGCCTAGCTTGGTGCTATTCTAAATGCTTCACGCTCAGTCCCGTCTCCCCTGAGAAGGTGTGCACGTACAGGACCAGCTCATACCTAAGCTGAGATGTTGGGTAATGTGTCCAGATCTCCGCTGTAGGCACTGGAGCCGGGATTCAAAGCCGCCCTGCCCACGTGCAGCGCTTGATCTGTGCAGTACTGTTCATTTCCAGCCCCGGTCCCTTTGCTCTAGTTCTCTCCCCTGGGGTGTGAACAGCTAATTTCCCTGTTTTGATCTCAGTTTCCGTATTTGTATTGCTCTGAGATCACTACTCACTCTAGCTTCCATACTTGGTCTCTGCTAAGTACGGAAAGGGGCGCCAGCAGTTTATATTTTGATCAGAAGTTGTGATTTCATTTATTCATTAGCTCCTAGTCTGGGTGACTCCATTCTCAATCAAATTCTTCTCAAGCTGATCAGTCCTTTTATTAATCTTCATATGCCTCTGCAGCCCATGACGAGGGCAATCCTTCATTCCCTTCAGAATGCAGATCATAAACTGAATTATTGGCAAATACAAGTACTGGTTATGATTCTTAATGTTCCTGGTTGCTAACAGAATTATGTTAAATAGTTATGGTATTCAACTATTAAAAAGTCATTGCTTGCTTACCAGTTACCAGTGTTAAATAAATAAATAAATATATATATGTATCTATATATATGTATGTATGTATATATTATCCAGGGAGAAGTTCAAGAATTTGTCAGGCCTGTACTGATTGAATAACTTGCCAGACATGGAGAAGTTAAGTAACTAGCGAGGTTAGGTAACTTGCCTTTTGCCTCACATTCCGTAAGTGATGGTGCTAAAATTCTTTTAGTTCTGACTGACTTCAAGGTTTATGTTCTCTGTTTCCTCTTTGTTCTTTCTACTACTTAGCTACCTATTTCATGGACTGGCAAAACTCAGGCGTGTCAACAGAGGATAAGGCTGTGTTAGATCTGTGAAAACATACACAGCTTTATAAGATGTATTATCTCGAGTCAGCGAGATGTGCTGGTGTCAGTTGGAGGTGTACAGTGTAAATCGTTATGTCGAGGGGGTGAGGGAACAAGGTTAATTGAGGTTACATAAAGTGAAAAGGCAAGACTTGGGGTACAGAGTGAACAATGAGAGATGTGTCAAGGGATTGTGGAGGCAGCCAGGATTGTAAATAGCGTGTTGACTTTACTGACTTTTATAGCTAGCAGGAGTTGGGCAGCACACCTGAAGACTTGGCATGATGAGGCAGTACCATTGACCTGAATAGCCTTTTCAGGGAAGCTGAAGTCTAATTGAGCTCCCATGTGATTCATTCTCGGTATCAGTAGTGGTCACACATGCCCTTCTGGAGGAGAGGCTGGGTTTGCCTGGCTTTTGGTTCTGTTTCAGGCTGAGTGGAAGCTGTGTTCTATGATGGTGGGAGTAGAAAGAAGTACTAGTTCAAACATTTTTTTTTCAGGTTTTAAACTTCTCCAAATCCAGAAGCTTCAGGGCATGGATTTTTGACATTTTTTTGGAAAATCTGGTAAAGCTGTGGACTGGAGAAATAGTTTGTGGCTGGATGTGAGCATGGCCTGTTTACTTTAGAAAGCTGCTAGTTTACATGGGCAAAAAGCTTTTGAATTGAAAGAGGTAGTATAATATTCCAGAAATCTGGGGAAAGAATTTGCTGGTATTTTTACAAATTGGCAGACTTGTTTAGCAAGCTGGTCTGCTGTGCCAGCTCCAGGAAGAACAGATGTCCCTGCACAATGTAAGGTAACATACGTGGGATCCAAACACCAAATGTTACCCTCAGTCTGCTGTCCCAGATGACAGGAGACAGAAAAAGCTACTGCTTAGGATTGAGAGGCTTGTATGGATCCTGAGTCAAGGCTTCTGTTGGTGTTTCTGTGGTGCTGCCCCAAGCCCAAGGAATTTGGGAATTCAGCCTTCACAGTTTGTGATATCCACAGGCGACCATTTAAGGCTCATGCTACCTGTAATTTGCTGTTTTGTCAAGGCGTGGATTTAGTTGTAATGGGTTGCAAAGCAAGAGTGTAGGACTGGGTTCATTGGCCAGCTCTGTGTTGGCTGATTCTCAGAGCCAGATGGTTGTCCCTTTTTCAGGGAGAAGAGTGTGTGTCTTAAAGGTAGTGTATCCCAGAGAACAGATGAGCATTAATAACATTGAATAACAGTTTTTTTTTAACTTGGAGGTAATGTTGGTTTAAAAATAAGAAAAGATATCTATTCTAGAAATTCCTACCATGTTTGAACTCAGACCTTTGAACCAGTCTTTCTAAACTTCAGTTTTCTCATTGGTAAAGTGGGACAATAAAAATCTTACCCACATTACGTGGCCACAAAGAGGGTAAAGTGAGAATAAGATGGACACTACTGTGTAGCACATAGTAGGTCCTAGGATACCAACCAGAGCAGTTACCTAGATATGGAGGGACTTCCTGGAGGTAAACTTGATATTAGGCAAATGTTGGATTTGCTGCAGAATGTTTACTTTCATGAGTATGTTTCCATTAACTTTTCCTTTCTGAATACCTGGAGAAAGTTACTGATGAGCACAAGACTCTGCTCACCTAGCTTGTCCTTCAAACCAAGCTAACCCCTTGCTGGCTGTATTCATTCTCATTTTAGGTGTAAGTCAGCAATGGCATCTGCGGTCTGCAGAGTCTACTTGATAAGCATTATGTGTGCAGAAGAGTAGGGACGTTCATGGTCCATCTTGGTGCTGTGGATGGCACTCAATCCAGAAATGAGCTGTGTTGATGAGGAACCACTGCTTTTTAAGTCACCTGGGCTTGAGCGTTTGGCCATCTTTTTCTTTTTGCTACTTCCTACCATAACCCTCCTGGCTTTCACATCTTACTGATTATACCTCTGCAGTCTTTCTCAACTGTATCTTTGCATTTCTCCCTGCTCCCTAGTTCACGTACCTCTTGTGGGCCTTTTGTTGTAGCTTCTAAACTGGTTTCTCTGACACCCCCAACCCCCCACACGATCGCAGTCCTTTTCATCCTTAAGCTTATCACTTCCTTGCTGCCAAGCCATTGTCCCAGCATACCCTTCACAATGAATTTCATATTTTACTTTCACAAGAAAGTCACCTTGTGGCCTGAATATCTCCACTCATCCTCACATTACCTCATCACACGTTTTCATGGCTTCCTGTATATTCTCCTACAGTTTTAATGAAAGACTAAAAGAGAACCGAAGTTCACTTAGGGCCTTCCTCATACAGAGGTAAATCCCATTGTCATTTACAATAGTGTGTTGTTTCATCTGATGTTTCCTTGAACCCAGTAAGTGCTGCTTCTGTCTTACAGATGCAGAAAATTAAACATAGAGACATCAAGTGTTTTCTCATCCCCATGTAAGAACTTAGCATTTTCCATCTGCTTTTCCAGCTTTGTGGAGGCTATGCCCTCTGCCTGCTGCTTTGTTCTCCCATCTCATCTTTGTGTGCTTCTGGGCCCAAATAAGTGCTACAGCCTCTCTAAAATGCATTTTCCTCTAAGTAAGAATGCGTCTACTTCAGTGTCTATCAGATTGAGTCTGCCTGGAGTCCTAACTTACATATCTTGTCTCTAAAGTAGGGCAGGATGTGTATGCTGAAGCTCAGTGTTTTGTGTAGCATGTGAAGCCTAGACTACCATGGGTGGCAAGGTGACCAGGTAGGAAGATAGATAAATGGAAGATATGTGTCATCCCGATCTGATGGCTTGCAGATCCGGGTTAAGGTTAGTCATCAGAATTGTATTTCTTTGGATGATTCCTTGTCCCTCAAACATCGCAGACCATAAACTCTAGGATAGAATAAAAAGGCTTTCACACCAAACTCATACAGTTTTCTTTGCTTAAAATACCTTTCCTTGCCTTGTTGCCTTCAAGCCTTAATCTTACAAGTAGCTCCACTCGTGACCAACCTCCTCAACTGTCACACTACCTACTGCACCCCACTGAAATGGTGTGGACCTTTGGTGACTCCTTTTCTGGGCAGGGTTATTCTGTGCTTTTTTGCCTGCAAAGCATATTATTTAACCCTTCCGATAACCATAAAAGATAGATGCTGTCATTTCCTTTTCACAGGTGACAGGGAAACTGAGCTAGGGCATTTTGGCTCCTCCTTGAATTCACTCATGCATAATGTTTTAATTTTTTTGTGTGTCACTTTTGCCTGAGACATGACTACAATAAAACATTTGTTGAATGAGTAAATGATTACAGGGATGATTATAGCTATACTCCAGGTGTTTCTAAACAACAGGATTAACTCAAATAGGCAGGGTACAAATGAGTAACGGTTTGTTTTTCTCTTTAACAGGAATTTGACTCTGGGGCATGACCACTAAGCTGTTCGGCTCTAGGCTGTGTTGGTAGGAACCTTTGCAAGGAAGAGCAATGGCTGCCGCTGCAGCAGCCTCTCACCTGAACCTCGATGCCCTCCGGGAAGTGCTAGAATGCCCCATCTGCATGGAGTCCTTCACCGAAGAGCAGCTGCGTCCCAAGTTGCTGCACTGCGGCCATACTATCTGCCGCCAGTGTCTGGAGAAGCTCCTGGCCAGTAGCATCAATGGTGTCCGATGTCCCTTTTGCAGCAAGATTACCCGCATCACCAGCCTGACCCAGCTCACAGACAACCTGACAGTGCTGAAGATCATCGACACAGCCGGGCTCAGTGAGGCCGTAGGCCTGCTCATGTGCCGAGCTTGTGGCCGGCGGCTGCCTCGACAGTTCTGCAGAAGCTGTGGTTTGGTGTTGTGCGAACCCTGCCGTGAGGCGGATCACCAACCTCCTGGTCACTGTACCCTCCCTGTCAAGGAGGCAGCCGAGGAACGGCGGAGGGACTTTGGGGAGAAGTTGACTCGCCTAAGGGAACTTATGGGAGAGCTGCAGAGGCGGAAGGTAGCCTTGGAGGGGGTCTCCAGGGACCTTCAGGCAAGGTATAAGGCTGTTCTTCAAGAGTATGGCCACGAAGAGCGCAGGGTCCAGGAAGAGCTAGCCCGCTCTCGGAAGTTCTTCACGGGCTCTTTGGCTGAGGTTGAGAAGTCCAACAGTCAGGTGGTAGAGGAGCAGAGCTACCTGCTCAACATTGCAGAGGTGCAGGCCGTGTCCCGCTGTGATTACTTCCTAGCCAAGATCAAGCAGGCTGACGTAGCACTGCTGGAGGAGACAGCCGACGAGGAGGAACCAGAGCTCACTGCCAGCCTGCCCCGGGAGCTCACTCTGCAAGACGTGGAACTCCTAAAAGTAGGGCATGTTGGGCCCCTGCAGATAGGGCAGGCGGTTAAGAAGCCCCGAACCGTTAACATGGAAGATTCCTGGGCAATGGAGGAGGCAGCCACATCTGCTACCGCAGCCTCTGTTACTTTTAGGGAGATGGACATGAGCCCCGAGGAAGTGGTTGCCAGCCCCAGGGCTTCACCTGCGAAGCAGCGGAATTCTGAGGCAGCCTCTGGTATCCAGCAGTGCCTCTTTCTCAAGAAGATGGGGGCAAAAGGCAGCACCCCGGGGATGTTCAATCTTCCAGTCAGTCTCTACGTGACGAGCCAGAGTGAAGTGCTGGTTGCTGACCGTGGTAACTATCGTATCCAAGTGTTCAACCGCAAAGGCTTTCTGAAGGAGATCCGACGCAGCCCCAGCGGCATTGACAGCTTTGTGTTAAGTTTCCTCGGAGCTGATTTGCCCAACCTCACTCCTCTTTCTGTGGCCATGAACTGCCATGGGCTGATTGGCGTGACGGACAGCTATGACAACTCGCTTAAAGTCTATACCTTGGATGGCCACTGTGTGGCCTGTCACAGGAGCCAGCTGAGCAAGCCGTGGGGCATCACAGCCCTACCGTCTGGCCAGTTTGTGGTGACTGATGTGGAAGGCGGGAAGCTTTGGTGTTTCACTGTGGACCGAGGAGCAGGAGTAGTCAAATACAGCTGCCTCTGCAGTGCTGTGAGGCCCAAATTTGTCACCTGTGATGCGGAAGGCACAGTCTATTTCACCCAGGGCTTGGGTCTCAATGTGGAAAACCGACAGAATGAACACCACCTGGAGGGTGGCTTCTCCATCGGCTCTGTCGGCCCCGACGGGCAGCTGGGCCGGCAGATCAGTCACTTCTTCTCTGAAAACGAGGACTTCCGCTGCATTGCTGGCATGTGTGTAGATGCACGGGGTGACCTCATTGTGGCTGATAGCAGCCGCAAGGAGATTCTGCATTTTCCCAAGGGTGGGGGCTACAGCGTCCTTATCCGAGAGGGTCTTACCTGTCCGGTGGGCATCGCCCTCACACCTAAAGGGCAGCTGCTGGTCTTGGACTGTTGGGATCACTGCGTCAAGATCTATAGCTACCATCTGAGAAGATATTCCACTCCTTAAAGATGAGAAATGCCAGTTTCTTCCTTCCCCCAACCGAGTTTCTCTCTCCCTTTCCTTCCTTGGTTGTTGATGGTACTGTAGAGTAGATGTGGCCTACGTCCTGATTCTAGCCAGATTGTTGTAGGATCATAAAAGCTCTAGTTTTCAGTGATTTTTATCATTGCTCCCCCTCTCCCCACTCCCCCCTTTCCCTCTCTTCTAAGTTTTGAGCTCTAACAGGTACCTTGTCCCAAATAGGATAGATGATGCTGTTAGCAGGAGTTACGTAGAAGTTAGACACTCCCGAGGCTTTAGTAGACAAAGCCACTTTAGCCCTTTTCCCTTGTGTTTGAGATTCGTATTGGTAACTGAATCGTCATTGATCTTTCTCCCTAGTCTACTGTTTCCTTCCTGTTATAATGTGCTTCATCTATGATTCTTTGATTCTGTGTGCATGCTCCAGTGGGATCTGCTCCACCCTTCAGTGATAGTGTATCTCTGTAGCATGGTGTCCCTTTGATCACCTTTACCAGTGTGAGTCTGAGTTATTAAATGCCACCAAAGGTGACACACCATCCCTTTGGGAAGCAGGACCTCTTGGCTGGGGGATTTCTGCCACCATGGATTGTCTTTTCATTGCAGATATGCCAGAAGATGGTTTGACCCTTGTTGCATAGTTTTGAAAACTTCACTCTAGACATTGCTTGCCTTATAAAGGAGTCTGTAGCCGAGGCAGATGGGACATACAAGCAGATGCTAACATTTCCAGCAAATTTGGGAATTTTTTTGTAGGTCTCAAAACATTTCATACTCTTTCCACTGATCTGCGCTAAGAGTTACCAGAAGAATTGACTGACCAGTAATGTGAAAAGGTTGACGCATCCACTTTCATTAGTAATGAACAAACCATTGGGTAGCTAACTATGTATTTTCTTCAAGTGAGTGCATACTATTTGATTTTGAGATTTATTTCTGTTCTATCAAGCATTAAACTAATTGATAACTTTCTTCTCCACTGGTGTTCATTTCTTTATTAAATGTGGGATTTGGACGGCAGAGGGTTGTATTATGCCACTTTGCCTGTCTGTACTGTGTTCTTTGACAGCAAAGCATTTTCCTTAGCTCACAATGCAGCCCAGAATACCATTATGTAAAGATAAACAGATCCTCACTCCCGCATGCATTTGAATGGTGGCAGCCTAGCATCACCAGCACCGTGTTCAAAACTGAGTCGCCCCCCCATATGCTTATTGTAAAAATTGTAGTGTGTAAAGGAAGCTCACTAGGGATGTGTGCTACAGACTAGAAGTGAGAATGTGTGATGAGATTTCACAGGCTTCCACATCTACCAACCAACATATCTTGATCTTAGGTGCAGGAGTGATTACAAGCCAAAAGCTAAACATAACGCTTTCCTACAAACAAGGTTGCTAAACTTAAGTGACCCCCAAATTGTTTGTTGGTGGTTCTGTCAGAGGGTAGGTAAAGAAATAGCATGGTGGTGAACTAGTTTTTCTTGCTTTCAGTTAGAGAAGGCTCCATATTTTGATAATGAAATTGCATCTGATATTCTAAAATGATAGAATTGGGAAGAAATTGGTTCAATTAAAAGTGCATCACAATGATTCAATCAGCTAGGGCTGCTCTGTCTGTGGTGGCTTCCAGAAGCAGACTGTAGGGATTTGTGTAGGGAGTAGCAACAACTGAAACCTTTGCCACATAGTGTGCAGTGAGAGAATGAGTTCAGTGCTATAGGTTAGCTTGAGAGAGAAGCAGGGCCAGGAATGCTTTGGCTGCCTTTCCATTCAGCATGTTGATTTCTCCCATCTCTGCAGCACCGTCATGTCTTGCCTTTCAAATAGAGCAGGTATCTGATGGCATGGTCTGGCTGACTTTCCCTTTTGGTATCAGGCCATGCTGAATACAATGACTTTGCAGCTATGTACTATGTTGAGTAAATAAACAGAATATGGCCCCAAGAAGCATTTAATCATAGCAGTTCAGTTTTTGTCCTTCACAGTGACAACCCCCTTACACAAGTGAAGTCTTACGTGCAGACAACTCTGTCCTGTGAAACCAACTAAGAGCAATGACTCTAGACACAGATCGGGGGTTCTCCTTACCACAACTCCTATGCTACCATTGCAGCCTTTTAGGAACCTATAGAACACTTTCTGGAACCCATTGAGCTACAGCACGGTGATCTTCTAGTTCCATCTTACTAGTTATGGAAACTACTTTTTGCTTACCAAAGAAAACGGAAAAAACATGCCCTCTGTGTCTAGAAAAGGTAGGAGAATATGGGTGTGAAAAATGCCTGGCCCAGTCGCCAGAGTGCTTTTACTTGATAAACACTAGTCCCTTCTCCAGTTGCACAAGAGCGCTGGTATTGTGAGCTGGTATAGTGTTCCCTGTCAAACTGTCTTTTTTTGTTTTGCCAACATCCTTGCTTTCTAGGCTTACATTTGACAACTGGAACTTTCCCCAGCTGTTTCATGCCCCAGCCTCAAGTGTCCTAATGTGCCTCCCCTTTCTAGGTGCTAGCTAATGTTTAAAGTCCCATGCCACTGTTTGCCCATGGGTCTGAGCTTTACCAAGGTCAATACCCGGCACCGTGCCTCCTTTACAATATGTTCACATCATTCAGTTTTCTACCTGGGTTCTAAGACTTCCTAGTGCAGTTCCCCTACACTGAATAAAGAGATTCCCAGGCAAGCCCCTTGAACGATGTCTAAGAAGAGCAATTGACAGCCAATTGGTTGATCTGACCCTTGCTCCCATGTCATTCTTTGAGAATTTAAAATACAGGGGCATTCATTCCATCTGTTTTTTGTTAAGTACTAGAGGTTAGGTACGCTGCCCAGTGTTTAAAAGAAAAATGAGACTATTATTAATTAGTTTATTAATTAGTTCCAGCATCTTTCTTGTAGTGTTTGAACTCGTTCTGCTACTATGTACTTCTTTGTAGGCCATCTATACACTGAGTTATAGGGAGAGTACAATTCAGTCGTCAAGAGTACAGAAGACCACTCCACTGTTAAGCACAGTGAACTTGGCTTGAATTTTGTAGTGTTTCTGCCATAAGGCAAGATTGAAGTGGTCATGAGGTTTGTGTAGTCCTAATTGATGGCCTCTTAAGAGCAGCACTACCCAGCCCCATAGGAGATCTCATGTGAGACTCGGATCTTCCTCTACGTTCAAGCAGGAGGGAGGTTGGTTAACAAATGGGGATGTACAACCCTTCCGGGGATTGCACAACAAATCACAGCCATGAAACAGGGTGCTTGGATGTACTTTATAAGCAGGCTGATGGTAAGATAAAAAGCAGTTGAGCAAAATGCACTCCCAGACTGCAGACTACAGCTTCATCTTGTCAATATTAACGCTGATAGAACCCCATCTAAATGCAAGCTTGTGGAGGCTGTGCTTGGACTGGCAATGTTTTCAAGTGGGAAGATGACTGGATTTAGTAAGGCTTGCTGACTAGAGGCTCTGTCTTTCCTGTGTATGTATTTGTAGGACTTCAGGTGACCTCACAACATTGGTTTTTATACACTGGGTATTGGGGGAAACCAGTAAAGTCTGTTACAGCTATGATCTGAACTTTTCCCTAATATAAACTGTGGTTCACTTTGATACAATTTTAATGTGAGATCATGGAAAATAGAAGGCAGGAAAAAAACAAGCCAAACCCAACATCTTGGGATTTGTCTCAACTCAGTACAATTCTTTCTGTTCTCTAGCTATTGTAACTTTGCCTCAGTTATTAGCAAGTTGTAACGCTGCTAAACTATAGTTTCCCTGTCTAGTAAAAGGAAGTGGCAGTTTACATCTCAAAGGGTGAAGGTTATGTGAATTAAAAGATAATAATGCCGTGGTATTTGTAAAAGTGCCCAATTAAGAAAATGTTATTGTAGAGGGCAAAGCCTTCCCTTTTGTGGGAAGCTGCTCCACATTCTTCATGTAAATGCTGGCACGAAATTCCAGGCTGATGTTGGTGAAGCAGTGGTTTGTTCAACATGGCCTGGCTTCTTAATTAAAAGGCCAATTGAACCAAGAGTGGGACTTCTGGAATGGTGAAGGCAGAACTCATCCCACCAGGAAAGCTGCCTAGATCCTACTCTAATTTCAATAAAGCAGTAAGGTGACATCTTGACTCAGAGGTAGATGGGTTCTGGGAATTGGGATTTTAAATGGGTGCATGGAGGAAAAATTTTAACTTGGTATCATGCATGTTTGCTACTCAGCTAGCATACAATGAGTTTTCTTTCAATTCAGTATTCAATATTCAATTCAAAATGCCACCATAGACGGCATTCTGGGGAAGAAGTGGGAAGACATACGGTTATAACCTGGACTTTAGGAGTGGAACGTGCTGCTCTTTGTCCTGCTTCCCTGCTTACTAGTGCTATAATCAGTCACAGGGCCTCGCAGTCGGTTTCTTCCTCGGTACTGTATCCTGGTTCCCACTTTCCTAGACAGTGATGAAGAAATGGTAGCTGGAAAGGGGCTGACTACACAGCAGTTCTGAAACCACATGTGAGCTAAACTGTGTACTTGAAAGCTACTCTCGTTTATGTCACTAGGAGGATAGGAATTGGTGAGGAAACTATCTGCCCCAACACCAAAGGAAAAATCCTGACTGAAAGATATTAACAGTTTGTATATGTCAAATACATGGGCTTTTGTTTTCTATAGAATGGAAATCAGAAGTTCCCTCTAGTGATTTACTGTTTACTTGGTTATAACAACATCACATATTTTCAAGAATAATAGGGCCTGAAGAATAATTCATTCATTCATCTGCTCATTAAACACACGGGACATCTACTGTATTATCAGCAATAGTTGTATGAGTAATGCGTGCAAAGACAGATCAATCATGACCCTCCCAGCCATATAGCTTGTATTCTGACTGCCAAAATAAAATAATGTAAACCAAACAAATACACTGAAGGGTTAGATAAATAGTGTGAGACGAAATACGCCAAGTGTCGCAGGAAAAAATGCTGACTGAGGGACTCTGCTTGCTGAAGCGCCTTTAAAGTAGGAGACCATTACAAAGAAAGCATAGTGTTAGAGGGAAGAATGGGAGTGAGCCAGCACATTAAAAGCAGGGCAGAGTGAGGAGCCCAAGAGCTAAAGAAGTCACTTGCACCATGAGCATTAAGGGGTATCCAGGGCCGAGCCTCACCAATCCCTTCATTGACTGTGAGGATCAGTGAGGCTTCATTTGTGATCAGAATCTAGGATCTCGGTGACAAAGGGTAAAGACAGAGTTAGTCAGAATCACTGGTTTGGAATTGTCCCCTAAATAATAATTTAAGATCATGAAATAATGTGAAACCACTTCTCCTCAAAAGCATTAACCAAATGAGTCTTGTGCTCTGTTACTTTGTAGTAGAGTTTCACCCATTATTTTTTTTTAATTTTTGCTTGAAGTTTTTAACTTTACTATTGCTGCTTTTGAGCCCCTAGCCAGACAAGCTGATAAGATAGCTCAAGTCCTCGTGCCTTGGCTACCTGCACTGATTGAAGCTCCCAGGCCACAGTCTGTGAATGAAAGATCCCTTGTCTTCTCTACCTCCAACCTACTAAAACCAGGCTGGTCTGATTTGCCTGCTCAGGTAGTTCTTGGACCTTCCTAGGAGTCCAGCATTCCTTCTGGAAAGCCTCCTGTTTGGTTAATAAACATTGTCATGTCTGTTTAGTGTGCGAGTATTGCCATTGATTTCAACACTGGAAACGAGTTTTTGGTAAAAAGGTTCTTCTTTGTGGGGATGGCTACAGTAGTTGAGGCAGCAAGCTGGGGGTCTAGGTAATCACTACCATTAGAGGGCTTCAGGATTTGGTTCAGTTGGCTAACTAGTTCTGGAAGGGCTATCGTGCTCTTGTCACCTGGGCCGTGGTGACTGGCTGCATTTGCTGAGCCCTACCAGTTATCATAGATGCACTCAACTAGGTTGATGGTCATTCCAGAAAAAAAGCACTAATCCTGCTAATCATGT